TTGCATAATTCAATGTGACGCTGCAAATAAGTAAAAGTCGACGTCTGATTTGCTGATGAGGGAAATCCAGGCGTCGTCGGTGTTGATGTTGTAGGTGTATTTGCATTTTGCACACGGGGTTGGAAGAGTAAAGAGTAATGATGAAATATTGTCTAAAATCATTTGACAAACATTGTTATTTCATGTTGAAAAGTATGATAAGAAATTTCATGAGGATTTCATATTTTGCGCGGTAATATCTCCGCACCTGCCAAAATTCTTGCTCCTCAGGCTTTCCAACGGCATCTCTTATGGCCGCTGGTCGGAAGTTTGGTTCAAATAGCCATTGAGAATACAATTCTTTGGAATTTGCTGTTATTGACATTTCTTCCAGTGGCAATGCAAATCCTTGTCCGATCGCCTCCATGACCCACTTGACGTGTGCCATGGATGGAAGGATGTTTGGATCATGTGCCTGAAGTAGTACTTGCGTTATCTCCTGTATAAGTACTTTTCGAACATTCAGAGGAAATTTCGACAACACGTTGCTTTCTGCAAAAGGAAAAATTTGAACCGTATGAAGGGATAAAGTTAAGAAATTGATCATCATGTTAGAAATTATTTTTTTTTTTACCAAGAACTTACCACGATTATGTTCGAGAAGGTTTAATTGGGAAATCCATTTCAAGAACATTGCGTAAATATGGGATCACAGGCCCCAATCTGGTGAGTCAAGATCAGATTACACTATGGTAATTTTTTGTCTACTGAAGATCAGATATATGTTAGCATCGGCTCACGTCGAATGTGATTTTTTTACGTAGGGCTTGCCTGAACACAGATCATACGTTTTGGGGTTTGTTTAGACAGATTTTGTTCCGCAAAGACTCGAATTTATCGTTCATACAAGGAATAAATGGTAATTTCGAGTGAATCTCAGAGTTGCATGTTAAATAAATGATTTTCTTATTGGTGTAAAATTTTTATGGTGCTAAAGTATTCAGGCTCTATTCGAAAGATGAATTGTCGATCAGAAATATTTGCATCAGCTTTTTGTGCACATTGAATGTGACACGAGTTCATGTCCCACCAGTTCCGATGAGCACAATAGATAGTATGGTAGATGTGGATAATTGCCGCCTTACTTAATCATTGTCCCGAAAAGAATATAAATCGTAAGCAAATCCAATAATGATGCTAATTAGGTGTCAAATTTCTGACATCGTGAATGCTATCCTTTTGTGAAATAAACGCATCAGCACGCTTTAATCTATAATCAGCCTTCAATTGCAGAATTAATTCTTCGTCATGGCTACCGATAGGTAAAAAAAAAAAAGATGTCACCTCGAAGAGTATAATAAAAATCGAATGTAATTGACTGTAATTGACTCAAATCCTCAATCCGTTAATAGAAAAATTCTACTTCTCGGTTCTGGATTTGTTGCTGGCCCAGCAGTAGGGTACCTTTTGCGACGTCCAGAAAATCATTTGACTATCGGTATATTATTATCCTAGTAGTCGTTGCACAAGTAACTTTTTTTTCTTGTGATTTACCATTGATTTCTGTCTTTAGCTTGTAGACGCATTTCCCACGCCGAGGCACTTGCTAATCTATACCCTCGAACAACTCCAATTTCTCTCGATGTAAACGATAAACAAGCACTTGATGAGGCTGTCTCTAAACACGATTTGGTTATCAGGTGAAGGTCCTAATCTTTGACGCAACAATCGAGAAATGCAATTACATTAACATGTTCCTTGGGTCGCCAGCTTAATTCCTTACACGGCTCATCCGTTGGTAATCGAATCGGCTATCAAATTCAAGAAGAATGTGGTTACTACAAGTTATGTTTCCCCAGCCATGAAAGCATTTGACCAAGCGTGAGTTTTCGATTTTATCCTATTACATTGAAAACATTAACTTTACCTTGATTTTTAGCGCAAAAGAAAATGGTATTACCATCTTGAATGAGGTGGGCCTCGACCCTGGTAAGAGGTTTATAAGGATCATGATTATAAAATGACTTACACGTAATTAATATGTCTTTTTTTAAGGAATCGATCATCTTTACGCCATAAAGACAATCAACGAAGTCCATTCAAATGGTGGAAAGGTATAAGACTGTGGAATTTTATTTTGATACGGGCAACCAAGATTATATTGAATATACCATTGTTCATTTAGATTATTTCTTTTATATCCTACTGCGGAGGGCTTCCAGCTCCTGAAGCCTCCAATAATCCCCTTGGTTACAAATTTAGTTGGTCTTCTCGTGGTGTATTATTAGCGTTACTAAACTCGGCCAAATACTATCAAGATGGAAAAGCATGTTTTCTGAATCTATTATGAAATTGCGTTCTTGAAAAGGATTAATTAACAGTAAATCTTTTATTCTGCAGATTGTCGAAATTCCCGGCCATCAACTTATGCAAGTCGCCAAGCCTTATGTCATTTACCCAGCTTTCGCGTTCTTGGCATATCCGAATAGAGATTCCACTCCTTTCAGGGAGTTTTACAATATCCCGGAGGCCCAGACAATCGTACGTGGGACCCTAAGATATCAGGTTTGTCACAGACTACTTTCGTTTACCATTCTGCTCATTTCCTCAAAAAACAAACAAATAAAATAAAATAATGTCCATTATCGTAGGGTTTCACTGATTTTGTCAAAGTTTTGGTTGATATCGGATTATTAAATAGTTCCGAACAGGACTATTTAACACCAGACGCACCGGATATTACATGGGTATGTCTTTCGGTTTGATGGAATTGACATTAGATATATCTAATTGAATTTTCCTAAAACGTAGAGGGACGTGCTAGCGAAAGTTCTTGGAGTAACCGACAACTCTGAATCGTAAGTTTTGTGGTGACTTGTATTGAATTCCTCAATTCACTTACTCATTTCTTCGATTTTTAGTAATCTTCGAGCTAATATTACTTCAAGAATATCCGGTATACCTGAAGAAGATATGGATAGAATTCTCAGGGGGTTCAAATGGATTGGGCTTTTCTCCGATAATAATGTTGAACGCAGAGGAACATTACTTGATACACTTTGTGCAACATTGGAGGAGAAAATGCAATATGCTGAGGGGGAGAGAGATATGGTCCTCCTACAGCATAAGTTTGAAGTTGAAACCAAAGATGGAAAAAGGGTATGACCTAATCACCTATAATGCCCGCTTAAACTTGATTATTACAATAATTATTGTTTGTCGTTTAACTACAGGAAACATGGACATCAACTCTGTTAGAATATGGGAAACCACCCGGTCCATCGGCAATGGCCACCACAGTTGGCACCCCTTGTGGTATTGCTGCCCAACTTGTTTTAGATGGTAAGAACAGATTTACAGAGTACTGTTACGGATATGTTTCCAGTAAACGTTTCTTACATGCGTAAAATTTTCGGTTATTTTTTTTAAATTCGTTAATAGGAGTAATTGAGAAAAAAGGTGTTTTGGCTCCATACACACTAGACATCATTAATCCTATAATTGAAAATTTGGAAAAAGAGGGGATCAAAGTTATTGAAGAAAAAGTGGAATATTAATTTATAGTGAAAAATTATTTTTTTTGTAATAGCTCTTGCGGACCTCACATAAAGAACCTTTTTCGCAATTCATGTTTGCATGTCATTGTAAAAATACTATTGACTGTATAATGATTTTCATTACTACAGTAGTGACTATGTAGTGCTTTATTTCATTTTTGTTCAAGCGTTTTATTAACTCAAGATACATGTTGTTATTTATTGACTCTACTTTTGCTTGGAAAATGTCCATTATGTTTATCTCATTAGTACTAACAATTTGAATAATAAAATGAATAAATTCATTAGAAGCGTTATCCTCTATCGTTTTTATTTATATTTCCAAGTTCAAATTCTTTTTCCGCTTTTCATGATAAATTTATGTAAAATTTTTTACACACATCTATTAATGTTACAGTATAGATGTAATATAAGTATATGCATCAGTGAAAAATTGTTAAGAAAATATGACTACGTATTGGACTTAATACGGAAATCTTCGCACCGAATGTTTTCTTTAATTATAACTAATCAATATATCAATAATAATGTTCGGCGATAAAAATCTACAATAATTTCATTTTCTAACGATCGAATCCGAAAATCCATCTTTTAAATCCCCGAATTCAAACACCTTTTCTTCATAACTTCCCAATGGACCTTATAACAATTCGGTGCACGACTACCGTTCATGAATTCTTTGACCAATGACCACTTAGCACCATGAGCTTCAACGGCTTCCATCAAAATGTTCTCCTCTTCCTTTGTCCAAGGAGATCTACCACTCGATAAATTACTTTTTGTTCTGGATTTCTTTTCGGTTCGGTCAGAATTGCTATGGGGTTTTTCCTTTCCTTCTGTCAAAGTAGAATTCCCATGGGTCTTTTCTTTCTTTTCTATCAAACTAGAATTTCCATCAGACTTTTCTTTCTTTTCGGTCAAGGTAGAATTTCCATTGGGCTTTCTTTTCCTTCTCTTTTCACCTAAGGTAGAACTTCCAATATACATCTCTTTCTCTTCGGTAGTAGCGGACCTTCCATCGAATTTTCTTTTCCTTTTCTTTTCGGACAAGACAGAATTTTCATTGAGCAATTTTTTCTCTTCAGTCGTAGTAACATTTCCTGCGGAACATCCTTTCCTTTCGATCACTATTGAATTTCCATCAGAACTTTTCTTCTTTTTTTCGATCAAAGTAGAACTTCCGCTGAACATTTCGTTCTCGTCGATCGCAGTAGAATCTCCATCGAACTTTCCTTTCGTTTCAATCACGTTAGAAGTACCTGCTGACGATTTATTAAATGTATTATGTCTTTCTACAAGTGAAATTAAAATAGGAATTTTCAAATTACTTTACCTTCCAAATTCATCATCCTTTTATTAAATCGAAGTTTGGTAGAGGGTCTGTCCCCGTTCTCCGAATCTGACAGCTAAATGACAATATTTTAATTAAAGATTAATGGTATATACTGAACGCTATACGTACAGTATTTGACATCATTTTATTTACTTCTGGTTTCCCACTCTTGGTTTTTTGTTTTAAAGCAGTTTTTTGCGGAATAGGGGTTAAAGAGGATGCACGACCGTGGTATGTTTTGTCGTTCGCGTTATCCTCAAAAATTGAAGATGGGTTCTCGCAAGTATTATCTTGTTGAAAAAAGCGGTTCTATCAAGTAAGAAATGATTAAAAAAAGTGAACGATAAGCGATTGTTTAAAGAAAAAAAAAAGGAGAGAGAAATAAGATGCCAAATTCTTAATAAAAGTATACTACAATCCAATATTCACCTGTTCCTCCTCATAACCATCATCCGATATTTCAATGTATTGATCGAAAACTTCGTTCGATCTTTTTCCGCTCACTTTATTACCAATTCTGTCAAGATTCTCCATTTTACATATTTCGTTGGTCTCTTCGCACAACGTGAAACGGTCCAGGTAAAGTTGATAATTCATGCTTCTGTGGATGTATGTATTTGCATTAATCGCCGTCGTTTATTTCATTGTCGTAAATTTATTCTTAAACCGTCTTTATATACGAACCATTAAAGATTCGATTTAAGGAAAGCATGTTATATTAAATTTTCACGCAATAATTTCGTGACCAGAAATTACGCTACGAAATGAAATTTGAAATGTAACATGATGAAATCAAACGCTCATAAATGGATGCGATTCATCCGCGAGAACAGATTGCGTAATGTCGAAGTAATATTCCAGTGGACATTATGGCACGTGCGTATTTTCACATACCGATAAAGTCTGTTCCGCACTTTGCATAAATTTTATGCAAAGGAAAATCTGTTATGCACGAGTTGATTTTTATTTTTTTTTCTTCAAATCAATTTGATGCATCGTTAGGTTGTTCACTGGAAATATATGATATATAAATCTGCCAACTTCAAAAAAGGACCGTACAAAATCTTCATCAATAAGATGATGACGCATCTCAAATCTTCTAATGTTACTTGCAGATTACCAACTATTATTTTCATTCATATCACACTCTTATTAGTTATCGTTCTCGCCGAAACGCCACCACCTATTCCGATACCTGCTCACGTCCCGATCATTGGTGAAAATGCGCAAAATTCACCCGCCGGCATTTTTACACCAGAGTTAACAATAAACAAAGCCGGTGCCTTCTTACCAAATGGCGGCGCAATTCTTGCGGCTCCTATGCCCAATTGGGGGGAATTGCCTGCGATCGATTCTTTAGGTGGACAAAGTTTCATCGATCCAAATAATATAGACAAAGGAAATTAATCATGTATGACGAAATCAGGAATAGTCTAATGCGTGAATTATTATTAACTCTTTGTAATTAAATTTTATTAATTTGTTATGAAAAAAGAATTCTTTAAATGTAAATTAAGTTTACACACAAAGACTATATTAAGACAATAGTGGCATTGTTAATAGAATCTATATCATAAATACTGCGTAAAGAATAAAGGTTTATGCTATCAATTATCTGGGCAGACAATAATGGCAGCTCCACAGCCTGGCCGGGTTGCAAAAATGGCATCATCCAATTGTTTTTTGGTCAGGTGAGGAAACAGGGGCTTATAGTAATTCGCGATGACATGTTGAATAAAGGACTCAACTTGGTCTTCGCGGATTAGGGAAACGGTACATCCTAAAATTTTTATTAGAAAAGAAATAGTTTGACCAGAAACTTTTTCGCCAAAGAAAAACCAAATTAAATAATTTCCCTACCGCCCCAACCAGCTCCGGTAAGCCGACTTCCGACAGCACCACCATCCAGGCAAATTTCAACCAGCTTGTCCAATTCTTCGCACGAACAATCAAACAATTCTTTGCAGCTTTTATGACTCTGATTCATTAACCTTCCCAAACTTTCAAATGTCATTTGATCATGAATACCATTTTCCCTTAAACCCTCGAACGCGCCTTGATCACAGAAACCATTTTTTTCGTTAGCAAGGCAAACCTCGTAAAATCTTAATACCCTCAAAGCTTCATCAAATACATGTTTCGATCTTTTGTACAGATGAAATTTTTCTGCTCTCACAGGAAATTTCGTTAAAAACATTGCTTGAATTTCAGACTCTGACAAATTCAACAATTTAGTCAATTCATCCAATGAATATCCATCACGTTTATTTGATTCGGGATGATGTTTCTCCAGAAATTCTGAAAGATATTCAAGATTGGAGGCTTTTACCTCGTTAGTCTGAGAATGCAGATCGCAAACTTGCCTTAGATTCACACATTCTTTTCCGAACAAAGTTATACCCAAGTCATAAGCTGCCAACTTTGTTTCGACCACACGTAAGTTGTAGTGGATTGGGGCCGTAACTACTTTATCGGCTGTGACAAGAGAGTTGGCTATGACAAAAGCGATTGGAGGATTGATAGAAGGTAATTTTATTGGCATCGCGGTGAGAGTGGGTAAGAATTGAATGTAGAGGGCATGTTCGTTTTGAGAAAAGATCGAAGCTGTTTGATCCATTCTTAAATTATCAGGCATGTAGTTTCAATATGTGATGCAAAAAGGCCGTGAGAATACACATTTCGTATGAAGTATATGAAGTGTCGAAATTTCATACACTTAATAACAACTGTGTATGTAATAGTTGATTGGCTTACCCTCCCGTATTCATTCCACATAATCTTTCGCTCTCGATGGAAATTTCGGTAATTTGTTTTTTTGTCAAATTTTCATTGTTAGCTCGAGATGTTGCTAGAGCGACGCTACACACAAATGCCGAAGAACTGGACAATCCAGCTCCGCTTGGTACCACCCCATCTACCAAACAACACATTCCCTTAGGATTATCCGTGTCAAGGTGTTGAAGTATACCCTAATTGAAAAGGTGCTATCGTTAATCGGTAAGGCAGCAAGGTCAGTTCAAATTCGGAAACATACCTTGTAACCACACTTAAAGTAATTACTCCAATTGCATACGCCTTCTTCGACTACAATCTCTACAATCTTATCCTTTCCTTCGAATTTCCAGTTGTGAGATTTGTACTTTTCCTGATTAACATTTGCAATCAAGACTCTTCCGTCCTTATCATCTTCAAAAACATCTACCGCAACCAAGACATCGCGACTAATGGCCATTGGCAAAACTCCAAAGCCCGCGTAGTCAATGTGTTCACCAATTATATTAACTCGACCCGGAGCCCTGGAAATGAATTTTGGTGAACGATTGGGATAAAAAGAACGAAAGGTTTCAATTAAAGTTCTATAACGGTCATTTTGAGCGTCGATGTTAGGTGGGGGGTATATTTGAGAGATAGATGAAAGTGGAAGAATTGGTATAAAATCCGTAGAATTTGACATTGGTTTTATTATTGACGGATATTCAAGAATAAAAAGAATCGTGGGAAATTTCCTTGTCGAAATAAAATGATTCTTTTGTCGGGAGCGAAAGTATCATTAAATGTTGATGAGTAGAATTTGAAGAGGTGTAGGGGCGCATACCCAATCATTTATATGTGTTGAATGTTTACATCAACTTTTTTAAGTTAAATATTAATTTGCATTCGTATTGTGAGTACGCTAATATTATCGCGTATTAGTGTGTTCACATGATTCGAGCGGAGATGGATTGAGTTCCTTTTTAAACGTTTTATCACCATTGTAATATAATATATATATATCATGTTTATTCTTTTTCATTCGATAACAAGTATATAAACAAATAAATAGAGTGTAGATTTGTCCTTTTTAATGGTTACCGATAAAATGTCAGGTGATTTTCCAACCAATTAAAAATTCGTTTCCTCTGTATCACATAGTCACATTAATACGAACGACCCGTTACACTGCAAACTGTACTGTCCTGCCAACATGGCTGACGCGAAAGCATCCGACAATAAAAGTACCATCAATAAATTATTCTTGTCATTCAGAGATTCTATCGATTTTCATGTAAGGAACAATTCATGGACAATTGTTAATCACTACCAAATTTACACCGAATTCACTTCTTAAAAAAGCATGATAGGAGAGAGCGTGTAATCAAATCTTCAAGAGATATCACGGCACTGAGTAAAAAATTAATATATATCGCCCACAGGTACTTTACTAATTTGTTCTCATACTAAACATCAATGTATATAAATGCATTATTAATTATTTTCCCACACGGACAAGGGTCACACAGAGACCTCTAGAATCGATACTCGATGAAGTACGAACGAAGAAATCAGAGATACTTGAATTGTTTAAAAAGGTGTCTGTTGAATTGGAGGGTGCAAATTTTTATAGGTAATTTCAAACTTTATGAATTGATTTTTTTTCAACAAAACTTTTGTGCAGAACAGATACGGAGGCTTGGCTTGAAGGAGGGCGCAATCTGCACATTCATTTGTCCAAGAATTCTTGAATCGTTGTGCAAAACAGCAACAATACCACATCGAAAAATATGAATTTCCTTTAACTATGATCGTCTCATACAAGTCGATCTTGCTAAGATCACAATAGATTTAAATTCAATCATATGAAAGGGGTGGGTAGTAGTTCTAAACTCATTATTATTGATAGATATAATAAAAGTGTTTCTCCGTCGATCCAAGAGTACATCGAAGCCATCGCCTTTGTTGAATATCTGGAGAACGGTGTACTGATCACCAAAGAGAAAATTGAAAACGATTTTAGGGATGAAAATGGAAATCAGGTAGCACTAATTTTCAATATATTACGGTCAAACCTCATCTAATCAACTTTGGAACAGTTCTTGTTGATCACTTACGATGATTACTTATTGGGGATTGCCGATCTAACTGGGGAATTAATGAGATATGCGATCAATTGTATCGGCATGGGTGATCACAATCAAGCCCGGAAAGTTTGCCAATTTTTGCGCAACATCAAATCAGGTGACTTGAATAAAGGTGGTGGTTAGAAAGAAAGAAAGAAAGATGTTCGTTCAATTTGAATTAACTATTCACATGATTGGGCATAGGTTATGATATCTTGAGAGTCACAAATCATTTTTTACGAAATAAGGTCGAGATCATGAAAGGAAGTTTGGCTAAAGTTGAAAATGGTTCGTCGTTCAGTTTCGCATATCTTTACGCTCGTTTGTACTTATAAAACTTTCTGATTTGATTACGCGTTTCGATATCTTGTCATGTAGCATGCTGCGCGATAACCATTCGTGGATCAGGCATGTTCTTTCGAAACGGTTATTTTAATTTCGAGATCTTTCTTTCGGAATCACCTTACTTACCCTCTTCTCCTAACTAGAGTACTCACAAGATTTTTATCAACACATTATAAGTGAACACGCGCAAAACTTTGAAGTTTCCATGGAAGTTGATGAATAGCATTTTAGAATCTGATTGTTTTGCAATTTTGTCCATATGCTTAATCTCTGTATTGGTGCACGAATTAAAACATGTGCACGTTCATATGCAAAGATTTAATTAAATGCATATTTTTCATTGTTAATGGATAAACTTTGACAATGGATTTGTGTTTCATTAAAACATCCTTTCTCTAAAAAAATTTTATTCATTGTACTGTATGTTGGCATTAATTTTAGTTTTGTAGAAATTAGGTTTTCTAATTATATCTTAACATATAATTATACAAAATATGTATCATACATAAATAAGGGAATCGGGACGTATATGAAACTCTAATCGAAATTAATGGGGTGGCGCATGTGGTGCGCATGTTCCTGATGAGATGAATTCGCCTCTTTCTCTATTCTGTCTACCCAACTAAAAATCTATAATTCTTTTTTCATGCGGAAAATAGGTACGCTGTTATCTAAGAACCCTGAACAAAGGATTTTACATTTAATTAAAAATACATTCGTTTCGCTCGTATTAAATTAAATTAGTATAGAATCACACCACGTAACTAACCTGGTTCAAATATTTCTTCTATCATTTTATAAACAAAATCGGGAATATGTTTATTTGCTTTTGCCAACATTTTCTCCGATATTTCTCGCGACGTTTCCACGTGCAGGCGAGTCAATCTATCACCGAAGCATCGCAATATAACATTCGTGTGTTCATCAGCGAAGCAAGGTGAAAGGCTCACCACAAAACTCTTTAGTGGTGCCTTGGATTTAACAAAAAACGTTTCTAGTGATGAGGGCGAAAATGTCCATTGAGCTGCAATTTCAAACTCACTCAGATTTGGTAATTCATGATTCGCTATTTGTATTAATAAATCATTTGCATCTTCGTCACACCCGGAGATCATTACCTTTTTTAGCTGTGGGCAAGACGCGAAGAGCAGTACCAGCTGTGGGAACTCATTCTTTTTCGCAAAATATTCAAAATGCACCAAATTTGGGCAATGTTTTGCGACAGATAAGGCCACCGTTGGCACGAACCCATCGCATGATGGATAATAATATTGTGGTAAGGAAAATGTAGTAATTCTCTTCCCGGAATTCTTGATTATTATTTCAGGAATGATTATGGGAAATCGAAACCACGCGACATTGAACACTAGTTTCGTTAACTTTGGAAAGTGTGAAGTCGATAACATTTCCACCTCACTGCAACGAAAGTTAGCTTGAACAAAACTCATCTCTTGCAGGTTGGTCAAATGAACTAATTCGGAAAATACGCTCCAGTCTTTGACCATCCCCTGGAAGTAAAATCGGTGTAGCGTTTTCTCCTGAGAACGAAGTCCTTCCATGATTGCTGGCAAGACACGAGGTTTGCATTTGATAAATTGTATATCTTGTAAAGCCGTTTGTACTTTAATTAATTTTCCCATGTTTCGAGCATGTTCACTACTTTCACTTCGACCGAAATTTGACATGTCAATCACGATCTTTTTTAACCTTCGAGAAACTTTAGACAACGCCACCAAAAATTCCGATGTCCAATGTGTGGCTCCCCAGTAAAATTCGACAAGTTGTGATAGACAATTGCTCGCACCACGATAGGTCGGAATTAACAAAAGTTCGTCCGGAATTTCTCTGAACGTGACCCAGAATGAAATGTTGGGTATACTCGAACATCGATAGTTATCCGACGACCATTTTCGATTAGCCATATCAATTGATATATTTCTCATGTTCGAACAATGTAACACCAAGAGCTTGCATATGTCACGAGCCATTTCTTGAATCACTGCACTCTCCCAGTTGTCTCCTTTCTTTAGTGTTGATGTGTTATGTTGATTGGCCATTACAAAGTTAAGATCTTTCTTGGTTCTCAAGTGCTTAACACCGTCCGTTAGAGCCAAAAATAAATCATGTAGGTCGACATGACGCAGAAATGATAAATAGTTAAAGGTCGTGGGCGGCGCCGTCGTCCATACAACAAAATCTTGCATATCAATGCTGGTTGATGTTTGATTATGAGCCATACAAGTGATAAATGTTGAAAGAAGGTTCCTTGCTTTCTCGTGTCGCTCTTCATCCGTACAATTGCAAGATTTAGAACATGTGTACAAGAATCTAAAAGGTTTTTTCCACAAAAACTGAATAGCAATTTCGCACCAAGCACGGTTGACCAGAATCGACGAATGCAATGATTTTTTATCTTGCTCAAGGTTATTAAATATTTGCCAGAAGCAGTCTCGATTAAGTGCCACCATCACGAAATAAGATTAACACCAGGGTTCTAAATATGTTATTATTTTATGAGACAATATTTACAGAGAGCGGGGAAACAGTGAAATGTTAATAAAATTCCTTCGACCTTTTATAGCGTGTCTAACGGTTACACAAATCTCTGAAAGCCACTCACGTTACGTTAAAAGTTACACGAAACAAATCCATTATTCTTGCCGCGAAATAATATAAATATCGAAGGGTGTTTATCTTCCCCAGTTCTTGTACTTCGAGCAATAAATAAACTAATGAAATCCAATAATGCAAGAATTAATAACAATATATCTGAAATATTAATAAAAATAAAAATCAACAATATTTTTTAAAAAACTATTTTAACTTTAAATTCTTCAAACTCAATGCTATATGCAAATACATAGTTTCGTACTATATTTCTTGCATATTTAACCAGATGACGACCTTGGATTCTCAAAAGGCGATATGGGAATGGATGCTCGTAAATAACTCATGAAATCACGAACTAATTAAATTTTAGACTTCATTGAAAATATTTTTAATTATTATACTGTAAATGCTAATTTAATTATAAATCTAATAAATTTATCATGTAATTTATCACTAATTTGTTAAAATTAAATTGTGCTGTAAAAAAATTAAGCGATTGCTCATCTTCCGAATACGTGATTTTTATATAATTAATTTAAATATACTGTTTATTCTATATATCTTCTTAACAGGCATAAGCAACAATCACACAAATTCATACAAGAATTAATTAATATCCTGAATACTATATTATAAAATTTTTATATTATATCCACGCATATTACATTTGATACAATATTATTTAGGGTATATACTGTATATAACAAACAATCTGTTAAATTAAATTATAATAAACCGGTAAATTAAAAAGATAATTATAATGGCATGCATTTACTTGATTGTTAATAGCGCAAGCTAATTAGAAATGATTTATGAAATGATAAGTTACTTGATTATTAAATTGAATTAAGATCCATATATTTTACAAGATTATTATTTAGAAATTATACATCTTATAAATTCACGTTGCGTTATCTTTTTTTTATAAAGATTGTAAAAATAAAATAAAACTGTACAAATATACAGATATAAAAAAAAAAATTATTATTATAAAGCTTTTTTTCAATTTTTTTTTTTTTTTTTTAGTAATTTTTCAAAATTAAAAAACCATTTTTTTTTCTTTACTTTTCAATATGTACAAGTCTTTCATACTTCTTTTATTTTTATTACAAGAATTTCAAAAAAATTAAAGAAATATATTTATATATCAAAATAAAATCATTTGTTTTAAGACCTGTGAATCAATAACATAGTAAGTAGTACTTTCAAGTCTTCAAACACATGTTTTTAGTCAATATATACAGAAGACAAAAAGCACATTTATATTCATATATGGATTTACCAGATATTTTGCATATGTCATATCCAATAATTCTTAATCATATACAAATTCAATTAGGCTATATGAAAATGGAATCTCTAATCTTTTTGACAATTACAAATTAATATATAAAATATTATATAAGAAAAGACTTTTGATTTAACTTTGATAAAAATCATTAACTCTAATTTAAATTAATAATAGCAAATTCCATTAATTCTAAATTAATATGAAACTTGTAAATAAGGATCTTAACAATTCAATTTGATTTGATTCTCAATTTCCAAGTTCATAGTAAATTTAATATATGGGTTATAATCCATCATTATTTTTAATAGTATTTCAAATCTTATGCAAGTCTATGCAAGTCTGTTTGATTCCAATTTTCAGAACCATACTTGTAAGTCTATCTCAATTATAATGTTTTATAAAACTTAAACATATAATTGAAAGATAAGATACTAGTTATAAATAGTAAGAATTTAGACAAAAATTATTAAGTCAAGTATATTTAATAAGGATTATATAAAATTAAATTGAAATTCAAGCAAAAATATTAGTTTTATAAGTAGTAAAAATAGTAGTAATATGTTATATTAGTAATATATTTCAAAAATCAATAATAACAAATAATTGATATAATTGGAATTGATCTTTATAATAATATTTTATATGATCTTTTTTTATTAAACAATTGAAAAATATAATTAGATTAATAGAAAAAGTAAGTTTAAACTAATAGTAAGATTTTCTTTTTCCTATATAAGTCCTATCTAAATACAGACTTATTTATATAATATAAGTTAATTAATCAAAATAGTTGAATTGATTAAAAAAAAATCAATAATATTGAAAATAATATTTATTAAATAGTATTAATTTATATTTGAAATAATTATAAAATATTAATTATCAATAAAAATCTTATATCTAATACTTTTAATTAATTAAAAAAAAATCTTTAATTTTAAAATCTTATTTCTTTTTTAAATTATATAAAAAAAACTTATAATAATTAATTAATTATTTATTTATTTATTTAAAAAAACAAATTTTATAATAAAATTATATACAATATATATCAAAAAAAATTAACATTTTTAATTACAATTTTTATTTTAAAATTATTTAATAAATAATTAACACAATTGTGCAATAATTATAGTAATGGTATCACATAATCCCCTACATATGCAGACATGTTTAAAGAGCCTTGCTCTATAAAAAAATTTTTTTAAACAAAATATCCAACATCAGGTTAACTTTTCAACATCAAACAATTTTTCATTTCTGGAATCAGGAAATACGTTCACTTAAGGAACTCCAAAAGCTTACCAACATTTCTTACTCTACAATTAAGTACAATATTTGAAAAATAAAAAAAACTGGAAATGTTACACATCTGAGAGGAAACAGTCATCCAAAAAAGATCGGATCGGCAAAGGCACATGTTTTTGGATGTTATATCAACAAGGATGGCTTCTTATCTTTGCAATCTTTGGTCATAAAACTTTTCAGGGACAGAGAGTCTGTATTATACTCAACTGTAGAGAGGAAATTAAAAGAGCTTGGTTATAAAAATGCTCTTTCGGTAGGCACTCCAATACTTATAGACCTTCATAAGAAAAAACAAGTCAAATGGGTGATAATATATCTTAACTATAGTTGGAAACAAACTTTGTTTTCTGACGAGACAGCTTTTTCTTTGTTTAGAAACACGATAAAATAATGGTACAAGGACCATAAACTAATCAGGCTATTTCCTAAAAACAGACAAAAAATTTTTGTCTAGGGGGATTTTGTATCAAAGGCAAGACATCTTTATTTTGCTTTACTAACATCATGAATGCTGAATTTTATATCGAAATCTTGTATCAACACCATCCAGAAATCAAAAAAATACTTGGTAGGCAATAGAGGTTTCAACAGGACAATGACCTGAAGCATACGAGCCAAATTGTCCAAAAGTTTGTTAACGAGACTTTCCCTGAGATTATTGATTGGCTGACCAATATTCCAGACCTTAACTCTATAGAAAACCTATGGGGTAACATTAAAAATAGTGTGAAAAAGTGGTTACCATCAAATCTTGATAAGTTAAAATATTTTATGATTGAAGAATAGCAAAAAATTCTAACTGATACTTTAGCTAATCTTGTTAAATCAATAAAACACTGTTGTCAGCTAATTATCAATAATGATAGTGATCAAATTCCTTATTCATGTATTTTTTTTTTTATAAATAAAAATTTAAAAAATTATTAAAAAAAAAAAAAAGTTAATTTTTTTTGATACATACTGTATATTGTTGATTTAAAAAATAAGTAATATAAATAGTTAAAAAAAAACCCCTTTCTCACTTTCACTTTTATATTTGAAAAAAATTTTTTAGAAAATTTTTAAGTTGTTTTTTTTCCTTTTTCCTAATACTATTTTTTTCTATTATTTTTTTTTCCTATTATTTTTTTTCTCTTATTTATAAATTTTTTATTATTATATTTATTTTTCTCTCCTCTTTTTTTTTCTACCTGTCAAAATTGGTGGTTTTTTTTCTTTTTGAAGTTTTTTCTTTCTAGGTTTCTCTCTTTCTTAAAACTGCTACTTTCTATCTTATCACTTTTTTAGCCAATTGACTTTTTTTTTTTAAGAATTATATTAAGAAGTGATAATTTCTCTCATGTTGTGAACTTTAGGAAATTTTTTGTTTTATAATTTTTTAGAAAAAAAATAAATAATTTACTCTCTTCAAAAGATTATCATAGTTATAATTAACATATTCAATATTGTTTACTTATTGATAGTTAAACTAAATATATCTAAAAGGCCATTGTATAACTATTGTTATCTGAATTCCCAAGAAGTTGTATCTTATAGTTTTCAATTAAATGATAATCAATACCAATATAAAATTTTAAAAGTAACATACTAATGTCTAAATATCTAATAGAATAATATGTAATAACCAGGAATTCTAGTTATCTTTATAAACAGAGCTAATATCAATAATAGAAGTTTTTCATTTATTCATTGACAATATAGATCCATATATATGGTTAGATAACAATATCTTTAAGAAATTTTAATACAACTTTATCTATTGGATACTCTTGTTATATTTGAAAAATGGATGTGTCAAACTTTTTATATAACTTGAAAACCAACTTATCAAAAGTAATTGCAATATCTTTATATATAAAAAACCAACTCTCTTCTCTCCTACTTTGCTTGTTATATATCAAGCCAACTTTGAAAAGCAAGCATATCAAATTCCATTCATAACTTGAAGATAAACCTGTATACTTAACTATAGCATCTTTATATAATTAGATATTACAAATTTTTTAGTTCTCTATTAGATATCACTTGAAATATATAATTTTAAAAATCCTTTTGTTACTGCTTAAATAATTATTAAAAAAAAAAGTTAGAATAAGTAGACCATTTTTTTGAGTCCTGCATTAGATTCTTTTTAGCAAAGAAAGATATATATTAACCTTCATATTTGTTTTTTGGGAGGAGGTTTTCCCTCATAGATAAGCATCATTTCTTTATTTGATATGGTATATAACATGGTATACATCGTAAAAAAAACAACAT